GTGTTTTTTTTAGCAATATTATAAGTATCTACAAGGCAACCTCGGTAGCTAAGGTTAAAGAAAACATTCTCTCGAATATGGCTTTCTACACTGCTGAAATATAAATGTACAACATACTTCTAGAGTACCTGCTCCTGACGAGTCTAGTGGTATATACGGGTTGATCGTTCACCAGTTCTGCTTGCTTATTCTCGTTTCCATCATTTTTCTCATTTTTTCGGTCAATAAGAGCCATAAGAACCAAATTTAAAATTGTACGCTACAGATCATGATTTAGGCAACAGTAAGGCTAAATGATGAAACTGTCTTATTTATATGAAAAATTGGAGTATTGGACATCACATCAGTCAACGGCGTTCCGTTTATGAGTTGTTTGCGTATTATTTTGCTTCTACCCTATCAGCGTATCATAAACTAGATTATAGTTTAGGCAAAGTCAAAAACTGCGTGGTTGCCATACCATTCATAATCATTATTATTATTATAATCGAGTATATAACTGATATTCTATATATAGGGGCATGGTACATTTCTAATGATTTTTAGAGAGATATCCAGAATATATATTTTCTGTTTTAATCATTTAGTATCAATTTGCACGACTACTAATGTTCAGCAAAAACCATCTTTCTTTCGTATCCTCAGGCTAGCGCTTAATCAGTACATAAGCTATCTAGATCTCCTTAGAATAAAAAGCGTATCGCATGAAAATAAGGTACCGTATACTAGACACCAAGCATGTAATTCGAGTGTGTTATTTGCGCTGGATTAGACGTTATAACAGCGCAGCGACGCAACGAGACCTACCCGGGCACGTGAAACCGGCCGAAAGCTAAGAGATACGGGCAAGCAATATGTAATAATACGCTTTGAGCGACAGCAACGAGCGGAAGCGCAGATAGCGATTTAGAAACAGCTTGCAAGAACACCATTATTGACGCCACCAGCGTCGTCATCGACGTCGTTGCCGCGTCGACCCATCGCTTCCCACGTAAGAGACAAAACACGACAAAAAACACTGAAGACTGAAGTCTATTGAATATAGAGCACAAACAACCACTATCAATTACGGATACAACAAGTATATATTAAAAGATCAAAAAAGCATCGAAAATTTAGCTCTATGTAAACTGTACACAGTCGTCTAAATCCCAGTCGTGGGCTTCAAAGTAATTTTAGGAGTATTCAATGCACGTGTGCTGCGCCTTTTTCAGTTTGGAAAAGGTCTTCAAACTCGATGGTAGCCATGAACCCCAGCCGCTCTTCTTATAGAAAAATAAATTGCTTTACGCGTTACGTGGACTTTACAGCGAAGATACTTATTCGCTAAAGCAAAATTTCCCTTTTCAGAGAAAAAGCGGGAAAAAAGAAACCCGAGACGGTTATTTAGGACTACCTTAGAGAAACCTTAACTTCGATTTCATTTTTTATATAGATTTTTCCATCGTTTCAAACTTTTCTTTTTTCAGGTGTTTTTTGAGTTATGGAAAGAAAGAATGTCGCGCGGGATTAGATCAAACATCAACTTCCTTTACAAAGACCGCGATATAAGTAGCGACCTATGAATCGATGCATTATCGCGGTGAAAAACCAACGATCCTGTTCTCCCAGGATTCAGGCCTGCGTTGGCCAAAAATATCACGCGAGCTTCCTTCTCGGAAATACTCCCTAGTATCAGAACGACCATCTAGTATGAATTGATTAATTTTTAAAGCTAGAAAAGATATTATATGTGCCTCAGTAGTTGAAAAATACGGTGACAAGGAGGAGGAGATCGGTGCTTGGGGTGGATTTCGCAGTTTTTTCTACTTTAAGTTCACTCTCAAAACAATGCCTAGACAGTTGTGCTACTGTTTTCATATTATTCACTTACACTCGCGCCTCGTCAACTGTAGTGACGCGTTAACCCAAATAAGCGCGTTAAGGTTCTTTTAGGACAGTTGCTGAAAGATATGCATTTGCTAAAAATTCAGACACAATCCATGCTATAGGCCTTCTCGGCACCAATGTGTTCGATCGAGAGACTTGTGTGAGATTTCTGATACGTTTGGGAACTGTTTGAGGGCGGTTGGGCGATCTTCTAGCATGAATCATTTTGATTTTTCTACATTCTCACCCTTACTCGCCGTATGAGGTCACTCAGAACAGGTAATGAAGCCGCTGGTGCCACTTATGCATAAGGTTTCATCCATACCAATAAACATCGACATGTGACCCTTTATTACTGTCTTTATTTTTCAACAAACGAAGCAGGACGGAGATTCGATATTTGGTGCTACTTACTGATTTATTCTTTGATAGGCATATCTACTTTCGACTGACATTGTAGTTGTGATCCAGGTCGTCCCTTGCAGGTATACCCTAGTTTCTTCTGTTCAGGACAAGATTACCTTCGTATCCTGTAAGACGCCTCAAGGGTATTCGCTACCAACGTACGAGTATACAGCTACGGTTTAGGAGCATCGCTACAAATGGCGAATCCGTGAGTAATTTAGTTATGCCTAGATCAGTTGAACAACATTCAGCCATTTGTTTTGATGCTATTACTTGATGCTATAGTAAGATTATACTGTGCCGTTTTAAGAGCGGATCGAGAAATAGGGAGCAGGCTGTCGATTCTGTATTGTCGAAATCGTCAAAAACTCTTGTGAAACAAAACCGGTCGAGCACATTCAGGACCGAATAGTTTTAAATGTTAAGATGTTATAGTCAAGTATAGAATTGTCATCAGAAAACGTTTCTAATTCGGTCGATACACAGCAGCTGCTAGTCTATCTCCACTAAGCTTCTAATTGAAATGTTTTTTCTTCCGCATCGATTTTCTCGGAGATATTACATAACGCAGCGAGTCAGCGATGGTAGGTATAGCAACTCCGATTTCAAGAATTCGAAACTAATAGCGTGTACGGAAGACTTCTCTCATTAGATTGGTAGATTACGAATCAACTAAAGGGAAAGGTAGGACGACTCAAGACATATCCCGAGCCTCATGCTCTAATTGTAACTATGTAATTGAACAGGACGCATGCAGTACGTGACAGGCGGGCGAAGGTAGGTTTTTCCGTTTTAATTTTCAATTATTTTAACGGGATTTCCTCAATTTTTCAACTATCGCAAATTTTAATTGTAGATATATATA